TTTTTTTTTTTCTTTTTATTGATTTATCTGAGAGAGAGAGAGAGAGAGAGCACAAGCCGGGGGGAGAGGCAGAGGGAGAGGGAGAAGAAGACTCCCCGCTGAGCAGGGAGCTGACGCGGGTCTTGATCCCAGGACCAAGGGATCATGACCTGAGCCAAAGGCAGACACTTAACTGACTGAGCCACCCAGGCGCCCTGAACCTCTTCATTTTCAGTACTTAGATTTACTACCAGGCATTTGGCACTGGCTTCTGTTGGTATTTACAGGATTTCACTGGGCCAGGAGCAGGTTTGTGATGGGGTTCATGGCTTGGAGATTTGGCATTTTGCAGGTATTTTAAAATTCAGACTCTGTACCTGTGAATGCTGCAAATCTGGGGCTTTAGTTACTGAAATCAGTCCCCGACTCTGCTCACACACCCTTCCCCCACAGTCTCAGGCAGGGAGAAGCTCCTAATGGCATTCTGTGCAGAAAGCTGCTTCTCTAAGCAGCAGGGACCTCCTGGGCTCTGGCCTTGTGGAGCTACCTCTGCTCAAGCTCCAACTCCAAGATGCTTTCTAGCCCCACAGCCCTTCCTCACCCCAGCCCCACCTAAGCCCTGGCTCCTGGAGCCTGTACCCCACCTGATGTTTCCTGGGCCATCGGCATCAGCTCTAGTTGCAAATTCATTTGTAGCACCTAGAGATTTCCCTCCCCACCTTACCTGGGCCGGGGTAGGAGGGGGATGATGTTTTCTCCCGCATTTGTTTGTACCCACAGTGGGAGCATGGTACCATGACCCACACAACCTCCATGGTAGCCCTACCCTTACAGTCCCTCCCTCAGGGTCCGCAGAAGTTTAAGTAACATTTATCAAACCTACACTATGTGCCAGATACTATGTGCATAGTGCTCTATGTATGTAACACGTGGATAGATAACAGCATACGTACATGATACATACCCACACACAGTAGCAGATGCACCTACGATAGTACAAATACACACACAACCACCGCACACACGCACACAGCCCTTGTGCGTACGCACACGACATGTGCACAGCAAGTTCAAGACAGACGAAGACGATCCTTCAGAACTCAGAGTCCCTGGCAGGAAATATACAATAGACACAATTATCCGCTACCCCCCAGGGGGTACATACCAAGGTGGGGTCCCTGTGGTGGGTGGTGCCGGAAGGTACTGAGGTCAGAGGGCCGCTGGGAAAGGCCAGGTGGAGGGGTTGCTGTGAAGGACCCACTGACTTCCCTGCAGGGGGCTGGGACCCTGCTACCCTGGCCCCTCCCCAGCCAGCAGAACCCTTTACACACCGTCCTCCTCAGCCACTAGTGATTGGTCCCTGGCCGGTGCTGGGCACAGCAAAGGAGAGTCCTCGCAACCCCAAGCTAAGTAAGGAGTGAGTGGGCCGTGCTCCCAGGGATGGAGGATGGGGGATGCACCTGCTGCTCGGGTGGGGCGGGAAGCACACGGCCGCCCTGCGGGCCGACTGCTCCCCCCCCCGCCCAGTCCAGTGCCCCACCCCACGTCTGGGTGCATGTACAGGGTTCCTCAGCACACCTGGGTGTCTCAGCAGTAATCTGATACCCTGCTGACAGGGACAGAGGGCCGACCAGGCCAGTGCTCCTCTGGGCCCTGGGCTACCAGACCCTCCCTGGGATGCTGCTCTGAGGGGAGACAGTCGACAAGCAAGAATATGCAGCTTCAGGTGGTAACTCACAGAGGTGCTGACAGCTGCTGGGATAGGAGCGTTAGTAGCCAAGCTCACAGCGGGCAGAGCAGGGAGCAGGGATAGAGCGCTGGGTAGGAGGGGTGTGTTGTACGAGGGGTGGCTCCCTAGATCCCCCGAAGGGGCATCTCTCAGTAGCAGAGACCCCCAAGTGCACTGAGGAGGCAGCTGTGGAGTCAGGGAGTGTGGGTGACCTTTTAAAGGATTGTGTGGTAACGGGCGTGTGGGTGGGGAGGGCAGAGAAATGGGGCCAGGAGGCTGAGGACAGGAGCCACTCAGCAGAGGGAGACCTGAGGGCGTAGGTGAGTCCATGGTTGCAAGGGGGGCTCCTGGGGACAGAGGTGGTAGGGCAGGCAGCTGGCTGGGAGGTGAGCATCACCCAGGAG